GAAGGAGGAGGATGATGAGGAGGAGGAGGAGAAGGAGGAAGAAGAGGAGGGGGAGAGTGGGGGAGGAGGGGGAGGAGGAGGAGGAGGGGGAGGGGGAGGAGGAGAAGGAGGAGGAGGAGAAGGAGGAGGAGGAGGAGGCGGAGGAGGCGGAGGAGGAGGAGGAGGTTACAGGAGGTTACAGCAGGTCCCCAGGTCAGCACCGATGGCACAGCTGGGCAAACGCATCCTTCATGAAGGATGGCCCCCAGTAAACTTACTTACAGGTCTGTGTCAGAAACGAATTCTTGACGGTCAAGCCCTCCTGGGCCCAAGTCCTCAGCGCGGGGGGGTATGGGCCAGGGCCCCCCTGGCTTGGAGGGCTTGCCGTTCCGCAAATGCCGAAGATACTGCCTACCAGAACCAGTGACCTTCTCATCGCAAGGCTTTGCAATCAACATGAGCCTCCCCCCACCTCGGACCACACTCCCATAGTGAGCGCACTTCCAGCACCAGACGTGGCCGTGCCTCATGGCCGCCGTGTGCGATGGATGGACGCTCTTGGTCGCAGTCTGGACATCATTCACAGCTCGGGGCGGCGCGAGGACGGGGGTTCCAGCATCACTATGGGCGCGAGGCGTGGTGTCTCCCTGGCAGCGGGGTTTCTCGAGCCAGTCCACCAGCGAGGATCTGCCAGGGTTCAACCTACAGACCGAGCAAACCCAACCACGATTCGCCCCTGTCTGCATCTTATGGCCCGAGCTCAACTCCAAAGCCACGGCCCTCCGATCAGCCCCCCCCCCCCCCCTCCCTCGGGCGCCTCGCGCGCGGGGCGGTCCTGGTCGGCAGCTTCAGCAGCCATCCCCGCAGAGACAGCGGCCAGTCGCTGGTGCACCAGCGTCGCAGTCGCACCCCCCTGGGCTAGGTGGCGGACCTGGCCAGCAATGCACGCATGGGCTTCCTGGGCCCCAAGCTGGGCAAAACCATCGGCGATCTCATTGCCGCGCGAATCCTCGACCCTTTGGCCAAGACGAGCGTGAGAAACAGCATCCAAATGAACAACATTTACGGAGCCTGATGGGTCCTGGGCGGTCCTGGGCGGCCTGGGCGATTCTCTCCCACCGGAGCTTCTGGGCCCCTGAAAGCCGATCCAATTGGCCCCCGAACCACCCGTCAAACACAAATTGGCAATCAGCATATACGATCAGCTCCCCCTGAGTGAGCTGCAGGCACCACCACAAAGCCGCCAACTCAGCAGCTGGTGCGCTCTGTCTGCCGTCGACGCCACCGCGCCACCCAGGGGCAGGGCCGGGGTCCGAGGAGACCTGAGGCAAAAACGGGGGGAGGGGCCCTCGCTGGAGATACACCCCTCATCCCACTCGCACCGTCCTGGGGTCAGAGCTCGTGCCCGACCCATCCAAGAAGGCCTTCTGGCCACGGAGCCTGGTCCAAGTGGGGAGGATTTCTCCAGCTAGGCCAATCTCGGGGGTCGGGGCATCGACAGCACGAATTTGCCAGGCACTCTGGTCCCCCCAGACAGGGGGAGGGGAACGCAGTTCCACGACCCAGGCACAATACCCTTGAGCCACAAGGACTCATTGGTCCCATGGTCCAGGTCCGTCAGAGCGCGCTGGCGCATATAATTCGCACGCTGGATCCAGGGGTGCTCGCTAGCTGATACACGGGGGCATTCATAAACTCTATGGCGCACCGTGTCAGGGGATCGGAGGTCGCAGCGTTCACACCTGCCTTCAGTGCTATATCCAGCACGGCGCCGGCGATTCCCGTTCCACAGCGTGCCACAAACAAGCCCCTCCAAGGCGCCAGCCTCCTGGTGCATATCTTG